AGTTTGGCCCAGATTTGCAGAGCTACCTAGTTGACCTGTAGCCTTGTGGGCGATAATACATGCTTTGATTGTAAACCAGAGTTTTGGGGTGGTTTGTTATGCAGCATTCTTGTTATAGTAGGTAACTGTTACACCTAGCTGTTATTGTTATGTGTTGTTGAGTAACAAATTATCCCAAAATTTGTTGACTTAATAACTTATTCTTATTTCTCACAGTTCTGTTTTATTGCTATGATTTTAAATAGCTGTGCAAATGCTTTCAGTCTAGGTGTGGCAGATCATACATTTCAAAGATGTTTGCACAGTATGTCTTACTTCACATGCTCTTATGTGTGTGGCCCATTAATATCTAGATTTTATTTTTCCACCCCTTTGAATCTAGGCAGGGCTTATGACTACACTACAAAATATGGCAGAAGTAATGGTGTGCCAGTTCATTTGAGGCTACAGGAAAGGAGACACAATAAATATAGATGTGGTATATTTGGAGAACATACAGGAACCTACAGGTCATTAATCCACACTATCACAGAGAAAAAGGAGACGACCAGTCAGATGCCTCCATGCCTAGCCTTGTCTTTTTGATCATAGTCATTCTAACTGGGGGCAGATGATATCTTTGTGGTCTTGCTTTTCATTTCCCTTATGATTAGTGATGCTGAACATTTTCTCATATGCCTGTTGACCATTAGATGAATAATTAGCAAATATTTTCTCCCATCCAACAGGTTGTCTCTATACTTTATTGGCTGTTTACTTTGTTGTGTAGAAACTTTGTAGTTTAATATGGTACCATTTATCTTTTTTTTTTTTTTTTGGTTGCCTGTGCCTTTGAGGACTTAACCACATAGTTTTTGCCCAGACCAATGTCCTGAAGTGATTCACCTATGTTTTCTTCTAGTAGTTTTATGATAGTTTCAGGTCTTATATTTAAGTCTTCAATTAATCTTGAGTTAATTTTTGTATGTGGTAAAAAATAAGAGGTTATTTCTTCTGTATATTAATACCCAATTTTTCCAGCAACATTTATCAAAGAAGGTGACTTTTCCCCAGTATATGCCCTTGGCATCTTGTACCTTTGTTGAAAATCAGTTGGCTATAAAAAGTATATTTATTTCTGGGATCTCTATCTTTTGTTTTTAGTTTGGTCTAGCTGTCACCTAGGTTGGAGTGCAGTGGCATGATCATGGCTCACCACAGGCTCAACTACCTGGGCTCAGGCAATCCTTATGCATCTGTGTCTTGAGGAAATGGGACCTCAGCCTTGTACCAATGCTGGGCTAATTTTTAAATTTTTAATTTCTATTTTTGGTAGAGACAAGTCTCACTCTGTCGCCTAGGCTAGAATTCCTGGGCCCAAGTGATCCTCCAGCCTCAGCCTCCCAAAGTCCGAAGTTCTAGGATTACAAGGAAGAGCCACCACTCCCAGCCCTGGGTTCTCTATTCTGGTTTTTTGGTCTATGTGTGTTTTTTTATATCAATACCATGCTGTTTTGGTTTCTATAGCCTTGTAGCATATTGGGAAATCAGGTAGTGTAATACCTCTGTTTTTGTTGTTTTTGTTCAGAATTGATTTGGCTATTTAGTCTTAATTGTTGTTATTTCACATGAATTTTTTAAGATTTTCCTTCTCAATCTTAGAAAAATGACTTTGGTATTTTGACAGGGATTTCACTGAATCTATAAATTTCTTTGTGTAACCTGGTCATTTTAACAATATTCGTTTTTCTGATCCATGAGCATGGGATGTCTTTCCATTTCTTTGTGTCCTCTTCAAAATTTCTTTTAGCAGTGTTTTATAACTTTCCTTGTAGAGAAATTTCACTTCTTTGGTTAAATTTATTTCTAGGTATTTTTTTTTGCAACTGTTGTAAAAAGGTTTGCCTTCTTGATTTCTTTCAGTTAGTTCATTGTGGTGTATAGAAATGCCACTACTTTTTGCATGTTCATTTTGTATCCTGCAACTTTACTGCATTTATTGATCAAGTTTACTTTTTTTGGTGGAGTCTTTAGGTTTCTCAAGATATAAGATCATGTCATCTGCAATGAACAATTTGACTTCCTCTTTTCAAATCTGGTTGCCTTTTTATTTCCTGATTGTTCTGGCTAGGACTTCCAGTATTATGTTAAATAAAGTGGATAAAGTTGTCTTGTTCTAGTTCTTAGAGGAAAAAATTTCAGCTTCTCTTCATTATGATGTTATCTGTGGGTTTATAGTATATGGTTTTTAGTATATTGAGGTATGGTCATTCAATATGTAGTTGGTTGAGAGTTTTTTTAATCATAAAGGAAAGCTGAATTTTATCAAAGGCTTTTTCAGCCTCTCCTAAGATGGCCAGATGGTGTTTGTTCATTCTGTTGATGTGATATATCACATTTATTGATTTGCATATGTTAAACCAACACATCCCTCAGATCAATTCCACTTTATCATGGTATGTTACCTTTTTGATGTGATGTTGGATTCAGTTTGTTAGTAGATTTTTACATCTATGTTATCAGATATATTAGACTATAGTTTTCTTTTTTTATTGTGTTCATGTCTTGTTTTGGTGTCAGGGACTTCTGACCTAGTAGAATGAATTAGGGAGAATCTCCTTTTCATGTTTTTGGACTAAAAGAATTGGTGTCAGGTTGCCTTTGTGAGCTTTGTAGAATGTGGCAATGAAGACATTCAGTCTTGGGCTTTTCTTTGTTGGGAAACTTTTTATTATTGAATTATTCTCATTACTTTTTATATTTGTGGGTTCAAGTTTTCTATTTCTTCTTGACTCAATCTTGGTAGGTTGTATGTGTCCAGGAATTTATTTATTTTTTTCTAGGTTTTCAATTTGTTAGTGTATAGTGTTCTTAATAGCCTCTGGTGCTCTTTGGTATTTCTGTGGTATCAGTTGTAATTACTTCTGATTTTGTTCATTATTTGTTTCTTATTTTGCTCATTTGTGTCTTCTTTCTTTTTTCTTGGTTAATCTAGCTAGTGGTGTGTTATTTTTGTTTATCTTCTTAAAAAAACACAACTTTTTGTTTCATTGATTTTTTTTTTGTTTGTTTTCTATTTTTATTTTTTGTGGCCTCTATTTCATTTCTTTGCTTTGATCTTTATTGTTTCTTTCCTTCTGCTACTTTTGGAGTTTTTTTTTTTTTCCTTGCTTTTCTAGTTCCTTGAGTTGTGTCATTAGTTTATTGATTTGAAATCTTTCTACTTTTTTGATATAGGCATTTATTGCTATCTGCTTCCATCTTAACACTGGTTTTTCTGTATCCCATAGGTTTTCATATGTTGTGCTTTTACTTTCATTTAATTTTTTTCTATTTCTTTCTTTATTTCTTCCTTTACCCAATAGTCATTCAGTAGCATGTTGTTTAATTTTTATGTATTTTACAGTTCCCAGGTTCCTGTTGTTACTGACTTTCTGTTTTATTTCACTCTAATCTGAGAAGGTATCTGGTAAATTTTGATTTAAAAAAATTTTTGAGACTTGCTTTGTGTCCTAATATATGGTTTATCCTGGAAAATGTTCTCTATGCTAATGAGAAAAATATGTATTCTGAGGCTGTTGAATGAAATATTCTTTCAATGCCTGTTAGGGTCATTTGGCTTAAAGTGCAGTTTAGACCACACGTGGTGGCACATGCCTATAATCCAAGCACTTTGGGAGGCAGAGACAGAAGAACTGCTTGAGCTTAGGAGTTTGAGACTAGCCTGGACAACATAGCAAGACCTTGTTTCTACCAAAAAAACACAAGAATTAGCTGTCATGGTGTTGTGCCTGTAGTCTCAGCTAATTGGGAGGCTGTGCTGTGAGGAGCGCTTAAACTGTGGAAGTTGAGGCTGCAATGAGCCATGACTCTGCCTCTGTACTTTAGCCAGGACAACAGAGAGAACTTGTCTCTAAAAAAGGTGCACTTAAATCCAATCTTTTCCTGTTAACCTTTTTCTTGATTATCTGTTTCCTGCAGAGAGTGGAGTGTTTAAGTCCCAAAGCTGAGGTTGCCAACCCCCCAGGCCATGAACTGGAACCAGTCTGTATCCTGTTAGGAACCAGGTGCACAGCAGGAGGTGAGTGGTGGGCAAGTTAAGCTGCATCTGCATTTACATCTCCTCCCCATTGGCGCACATTACTGCCTGAGCTCCATCTTCTGTCAGATCAGCGATGGCATTAGATTCTCATAGAAGCACAAACCCTATTGTGAACTATGCATATTAGGGATCTAGGTTACGTGCTCCTTATGAGAATCTAATACCTGATGATTTGAGGTGGAGGTGAGGTGGTAATTTAGCACTGGGGAGTGGCTGCAAATACAGATTAACATTAGGAGTGAGGTTTGAATGCAGAGACCATAATAAATTAATTGCTTTCAGAGTAATATCAAAACTCAATCGTGAGTGGCAAGTGAGTTGATGTACTTCAGTTGTACAGTGCATCTGGTGGCAGACTTTAGGTCAGACTCTGACACTTACTTTAGTCCATGTGTGGCCTGCCCTTCTTTTATTTACCACTTCTGTCTGTACCTCTTTTTGAAATAGCAAGTTGTATAATTATTTCATTATATACCATAATGTAATAACAATAAAGTATACAATAAATGTTATGCACTTGAATCATCTCAATATATCCTCCCCCCACCAGTCTGGGTAAAAATTGTCTTCCACAAAATTAGTCCCTGATGCCCAAAGAGATTGGGGACCACTGTCTTAAAATATTATTGTATCGGAGTCTATCTCTCCCTTTAGATCTAATGATATTTATTTATCTGGGTACTCCAGTGTTGGGTGTATATATGTTAATAATTGCCATATCCTCTTGCTAACTGACCCCTTTGTCTTTACATAATGACTATCTTTATCTCTTTTTACTGTTTTTGACTTGATGTCTGTGTTATCTAGCATAAATATGGCTACTCCTATTCACTTTTGATTTCTCTTTCCATGGACTATCTATTTACATCCCTTTTAGTCTATGTGTCCTCAAAGGTGAGGTGAGATCATTTTTTTTTTTTTCCACCTCTGTTTTACTGAGACCAGCATTGGGACATATGAGGCACAAGGAATCCCACTCCATTCCCTAAAAGCCATCCACAAGGTTTTCCTTGTAGATGTCATCACTGTAGATAATCTGGGTCCTCTTGTCCCGTTGGCAACCCTTAGGGCTGTTCTGGTCAGCGAGGGAGCCCCAAACCGACTGGCCAGTAGCAGCGTCCAGCCTGGGCTGTCTGCGGGCTATGTTGACTTTGAGCCGTATGGACTCCACCTGGGTCCCATTGGGCTCAGCAACAGCCTGATCTGCCGACTCCATCTTTTCATCGGTGACGAAGGCACAGTTTCTAGGTGGCTCCATGAAGAGGTCATGATATTTCCAAAGAGAGAGAAAGACCCCACGGAGGAGGGTGGGTGTCATGTCTTCTCCGTACACATAGAGAGCATTCCCCTTCCGAAGGGTCCAGCGTTCAGAAAATGAGTCTGAGCCGTGGAAAGGGCCCTCTCGACCTCGGTCTCTGTCCCGATCTCGGTCCCGGTCCCGGTCCCGGTCCCGGTCCCGGTCCCGATCTCGGTCCCGGTCCCGATCTCGGTCTCTGTCCCGGTTCCTCTCATGGCTGCCGTCCCTGCTGCGGCTTCCGGGAGGAGAGACTGAGGAGCCGGCACCACTACGTTCTTCACAGCCCCAGTCAAAGCTTCGAGGGGGGCCATCACCAGCCCCTGGGCCCTCTGTCTCTTCCCCAGTTCTCGAGGCCGATCACGAGAAGACACGAAGCTCTCAAACGGAGGTTTCCTCTGGGGACGTCTGGATGACTCCCGCAGGTCGTCGTCAGCAGACCGGCTTTCCGCTGGAAAGTGGGGACTGGTCCCTTCTCAGGGTCCTTTAACTCTCCCGCTAGGGTTCGAGAACGCTTGAAGCCTGAGTTCTTGGTCTCAGCCTTGATGGCCCTGACGGCTCCTGACCTCACCAGCTGCTTTGCCCGCTCTGTTGCTGGGGCTGGGTCTCCCACAGGCCGCTCTGACCGTGAGCGTTTGACACCGCCTTGGCGGGCTGTGCTGCTGCTGCTACTTGGCTTCTTCAGAGCCGGCAACGCCTTTTCCTTTTTCTTGAGTTTGTTGAATTTCTTCTGCAGAGCCTCCTCCTCCTCGCTCAGTCCGGGGGGGTGTCACCAACATGGTGGCTCCTGAGGGGGCGGCGACCCCGGCCCCCCTGTCTCCGGCGGTGCCCGCGCTAGCCGCTGAGAGGGGGCTCAGCGCGATCAAGGGGAGCTTCTGATATGCAGCATGTAATTGAGTTATTTATTATTTATTTATTTTTAACTTTTTTAAGTTGGAGTCTCACTCTGTCGCCCAGAGTTTCTTATATGCAAGTGAGTTTCTTATGTGCATCATATAATTGAGTTATTTATTTATTTATTTATTTATTTATTTTTATTTATTTTTAAGTTGGAATCTCACTCTGTTGCCCAGGAAGTGGCACACTTATGGTCACCCCAGCGTCAACCTGTTGAACTTTGGCAATCCTTCTGCCTTAGTCTTCCAAGTAGCCAGAATTACAGGCATGCCCTACCATGCCTGGCTACTTTTTGATTTATTGTAGAGACAAGGTCTTGCCAAGTTGCCCAGGCTGTTCTTGAACCCGCAGGCTCAGACAATCCACTCATCTCGGCCTCCCAAAGTGCTGGGATTACAGGCTGAGCCACTGAGCCCGGCCTATTGAGTTATTTTTAAAAATCCATTGAGCCAGTCTATATCTTTTAAGTGGAAAGTTTAATCTGTTGACATTCAAGGCTGTTTTGTATGTAAGGGCATATTCCAGTTATTTTCTGATTTCTTGTTGTTTTGTATATGCTGTGTTAATTTTTTCTCTGTATGTCTCTCTTTTTTTTTTCATTGTGGACTGGTGATTTTCTTTAGCGGTAATATTTAAATCTTTTTTCTTATTTATGTGTTTGTGCTACCAGTGTGTTCTATAGTTTCTTATATTTTTGTGATGGTAGATATTGTCAAAGTGTAGGAGCCCCTTAAGCACTACTGTAGGGTGGATCTAGTCGTGAGGAATTCCATCAACATTTCCTTGTCTAGGAAAGATTTTATTTCACCTTTATAAATGATAACTTTTGCACTGCATTTGCTGAAGATAGTGTCCTCAGCTGACAGTTTTTTTCTTTCTGCACTTGCATATATCATAAAATTCTCTTCTAGCCCATAAGATCCCTTCTGAGAAATCTATTGTTAGTCTAATGGGAGTTCTCTTATAAGTGACGAGATGCTTTTGTTGTTTTTAGAATTTTCTTTTTGTCTTTGACTTTTGATAGTTTGACTATAATGTGCTTTGGAGAAGATCTTTCTGGATTGTATCTGTGTGGGTATCTCTGAGCTTCCTGTATCTATATGTCTAAATCTCTTGCTATACTTGGAAAGTACTTAGCTATTATTTTGTTATACAGGTTTTCTATCCCATTGGACTTCTCTTTACCTTCTGGGACACTGAAAATTCAAGTAATTGGTCACTTTATAATGTCTCATAGGACACAAAGACTTTGTTCATTTTTTTCGTTATTTTCGTCTGATGTGGTTATTTCAAAAGACCAGTTTTCAAATTCTGAAATTCTTTATTCTGCTGGATCTAGTCTATTATTGAAGCTTTCAAATGTATTTTGTACTTCATTCAATGAATTCTATTTCAGATTTTTTATCTTTTCTTTTTTATCTTTTCTTTGATAAATTTTTTATTCATGTCCTAAGTTGTTTTTGTGCTTTTTTTGGTATTGTTTATCTGTATTCTTTTGTATGGCACTGAGCTTCTTTAATATCATTATTTTGAATTCATTTTCTGGCATTTCATAAATCCATTTTTCATAGTAATCTGTTGCTGGAGAATTATTGTATTCCTTTGGAGGTATTATATTTCCTTGCTCTTTTTTGCTTTTTTATTTTTCTTGTATTCTTATGCTGATATCTACACATTTGGTGTAATGCTTACTGTTTTCAGTTTTTTAATTTTCTTTTTGGCTGTAACACCATTAGTGATGTCTGTGATTTCCTCAGTGGTTTTGATTTTGTTATTAGTAAAGATTATGGTGAAGTTTTGCTCAAGATGGGGATACCACATGAGCCAATTCTCAGGCCCCAGTGAAGGCAGCAGTGAGCCCAATATTCCTGTCCTCAGGTCTCAGTGCAGTGTACCCTGGAACCTGTGTTAGTGGGTCCAGGCTGGCCAATTTTTGGGCTGCCAGGTGGCTTTCTTTGCTACTTGCAGTGGAAATGGTGGACTGGATAAGTGGGTGTATCCTTAGACTTCTAGGGTGCCAGCATGTGGGTGATGGTGGTAGTAATGACTTGAAAATTTCTAGCTCTGAAGTGGCTCACACTGGTGTTGACAGTGACTGCATAGGGCTAAGTGGGTCAGCCTGCAGATCTACATATGGCACATGTGGTTTGCTGCCAGCTCTGTTGGGTTCTGTAGGTTGTGTTGGTCTGTCCTCATTTCCCTAGGAGGAGTACTTGAATGACACTGGTGATGGATAAAGGGGACAATCCCCAGGTCCCCAGATGGCACATTCAGGGATGGGGGGTGGAGGCTGATTGGGCAGGCCTATCCTTAGGACTCCTGTGGTGCATGCAAGTGATGGCTGTAGTTGGTAGAGGTAGCGTGATTTTCAGCCTCCTGGCAGGATGCTTGGGTGGGAGTTGGCAGCAGCCGCACTGAAGCTATGGTGCTGAGGGAGGCAGGGTTGTTTTTAGAGACAGCAGTCATAGGCAGGTGGCTAGAAAGTGCATGTTTCACTCCCAGGTTACAACTATTAGTAGGGTTGCCTATCCTTTGGGTGCTTGTAAATGCATGGCAGCCCCAATCCCAGGGACATTGGGGTTGTGGCCAGTGTCTTGTGCTGAGCTTCTAGCAGTGGCAGCCAGCAATTTTGTCAGTGTACGTATGCATATATAGTTACTCTCCTGCTTCTTTTGATTTGTATTTGCTTGAATATTTTTTGTACTTATTTTCTTTCAGTTGTATATGTCCATAGAGGTGAAATGAGTCTCATGACAGTGTATATTTGGGTCTTATTCTCTTTTTATCCATTCAACCACAGTAAATATTTTAATTAGATAACTTAATTTATTTACATTAAAAGTAATTATTAATAGGTAAAGATTTGATACTGTGATATTGTTACTAGTTTTCTAGAACTTTATTTTTTCTTCCTCTCTTACTGTCTTCTTTTGCGAGATAAGTGAATTCATCTATCACAATATGTTGATTTTTTACTTTTAATGAATCTATTAAATTTTTTTACTTGTGGTTATTACCAGGCTTACAAAGAGCATCTTACAGTTATAACAAGTTATTTTACATGTATAATAACTGTATTGCAAAAAAAGAAGACACAATTTATCCTTTAACTCCTTTTCTCTCCCACATTTTGTGTTTGTGACATAATAATTTATCTTTTTTCATATTGTTTCATAATTAGCAAATTAATATACAATTTTTATTTGTTTTGTTTTTTAAACCTTTCTAAAATGAACACAAGTGGTTTACATCCCACAATTACCATGTTAGAGTACTCTGAATTTGCTTGGATAGTTCCTTACAGTGGATTTTATACTTTTGATGGTTTGTGTTACACAATAGCATCATTTCTTTCCATTTCAAGAAATCCTTTAAGCAATTGTAGGGCAGTTTTGTTTGCAGTGAATTCCTTCAGCCTTTGATTGTGTGGGAACACATTTATATCTTCTTTAATTTTGAAAAATAGCTTTGCAGAAGAACGTTTACTTGGTGACAGCTGTTTTCTTCAACACTCAGAATATACCACTCTACTCTTTCCTGGCCTGTGGTATTTCTGCTGAGAAGTCATTGTGTCATTGACTGCTTTTCTATTGCTGCTTTCAGGATTTTCTGATTGTCTTAGATATTTGAGAGTCTGGTTATGATATATCTTGGAGTTTTTATTATCTCGGATACATTTTATTGATGACTTTTACCTTACTCTAGGGATATTTGTGTCTTTCTCCAGGTTTGGAAAGTTTTTTAAAATTATTTTATTTTATTTTTTTGGTAAGTTTGCTACTCCTTTTCTATTCTTTCATCCCTTGTGGATGCTAGAAATACAAAGATGTGGTTTCTTGACGGTGTCCCATGGATTCCTTCTAATTCTTTTTTCTCTACTTCCAGTGTTTTATTAGCTTATTTTCAACCTTACTGATTTTTTTCTTCTATTTGAATAGTTGTGTTGTTGATGCCCTCTACTGCATATTTCATTTTATTGGCTGCATTATTTTAGCTCTAAGATTTCTGTTTGATTCTTTTTTTTTCTATCAGTTTCTATGCTCAATTTCTGGATTATTGTGTTTGGATTTTCTTGAAATTTGATGAGTTTTCTTAAAACAGCTATTTTGATACCTTGTTGGCCAGACTGATACAATTTCTAGAACCCTGTTTTATTTGAGGCCTGAGGCCATGTTTTCTGGACTATTTTTTACTTTAAAAAAAATATTGATTTAGCACAGTGGTCTGTATTTGGGGATATTAGGTTGTTTTTGCATTTTATAGAGACACACTCTGCCAATTCATTGACAAATTAGTTATTTAATCCGGTTTTCCAGTCTAGGTTTGTTTGTAGTCATTTTTCTTTCTTTTTTTTTTAATATTTTTTTATCAATATTTTTTATTATGATTTTGTGGGGTACAGTTAAGGGTTAGGTGTACAATTACATTTCATTCAGGCACCCTGTTGATAAGAGGTGTTTCCCCATCCCCAGACAGATATTTGCAACTGTTAATCCCATCCCCCCCCCCATAGTTTCCCAGTACCGTCAGTCATTTTCTTATAGTATTACATTGGATGTTCAAGGTCCATTATATGAGTGAGAACATGTGATACTCGGATCTTTGTTTCTGTGAGAGGTCACTCAGTATTATAGACTCTAGTTCCATCCAGGTTGCTGCGAAATTCATAATTTTGTTCTTTTTATGGCTGTGTAGTATTCCATCGTGTATATGTACCACATTTTTTAAATCCAATCCTCTTTTGATGGGCAGCATGGTTGTTTCCAGGTTCTTGCTATTGTGAACAATGCTGCTATAAACACACG